GATCCCAGGGTCCTGGGATCGAGCCCCATGTTGGGCTCCTTGCTCAGCAGGGAGCCTGCTTCTCCCTCTCCCTCTGCCCCCCATTCATGCTTGCTCTCTCTCTCTCTCAAATAAATAAATAAAATCTTAAAAAAAAAGAAACCCTAGTCACAAAGGTATCGTGACACAGAATTATTAACTTAGAACTTCTCATACTTGAAAACTTGGGAGTTAAAAATTTGCTGTCTTAGGTATAGTGAACAAAAAGTAGTAAGTACATTAAAAAGTACTCTCCAGATGTCTTTATTTAAACATGTAGTCTGGTAATAAAGGAACCAGAGGATGGTGTGTAAAGTCTCCAATGAAATCACACCTGATTCTATAAGCAATGGTTCAAGAATCTAGTAAAGAGGGCGCCTGGGTGGCTCAGTTGGTTAAGCGACTGCCTTCGGCTCAGGTCATGATCCTGGAGTCCCGGGATCGAGTCCCGCATCGGGCTCCCTGCTCGGCAGGGAGTCTGCTTCTCCCTCTGACCCTCCCCCCTCTCATGTGCTCTCTCTCTCATTCTGTCTCAAATAAATAAATAAAATCTTTAAAAAAAAAAAGAATCTATAAAGAATGCCGTGGTCTCTCTGCCAGATGTCCGGTCACAGTGTTCTGGATGACATTCTGGAAACAGCCTACAGCACAGGACTTCAACATCTGCTAAAAAATCACATCGACATTCGGCAATGGTTTGGCCATGGCAGTAGCTGCCATATAAGGACAAACCGGTGCCTAAAAACCAGGGCTCAGACTCCTCCCCGAGACAGAAGGCCTCAGGGCATCGCCCAACCCTTGGTGATAACTGGTTGCTGAGTAAAACTCCTGGAGAAGATTGATCCCATTGGGTCACTCAATGGAGTCAATACATGACATGGCCGTGACTGACCAACACAGCAGATATGGCCTCTCTGCAGAGTAGGAAATGTGGTGCCAGGATCTGTGACCTGGTTTTTTGTTTTGTTTTGTTTTTTAAAGATTTTATTTATTTATTTCACAGAAAGAGAGAGAGCGAGAGCAGGAACACAAGCAGGGGGAGTGGGACAGGGAGAAGCAGGCTTCCCGCTGAGCAGGGAGCCCGATGCGGGGCTTGATCCCAGGACCCTGGGATCATGACCTGAGCCGAAGGCAGACGCTTAACGACTGAGCCACCCAGGTGCCCCATCTGTGACCTGTTTTAAGAGGGAATCTGGGATTCTGCTGTGCTCCAGGCTATCAGGAGGCTAAATGAGCTCTCCTGGCATATGTTATTAAGTACCAATTTGGAGACCACCCACCAGCCCCACTGGTACAATCCCCAGTCCACAATGACCTCAGGGACTCCAAGCTGTCTGCCTGCTGTTTCCATTTTCAGTAGAGTCCAGCCTCTCCTATCTCCACCCAAGTGCACAGTCACACAGCAAAGCTGGGCTTTGGTTCTCTACTGACACGATCAGAAAGCCAAGCCCAGTAGGAAACAGCAACCATGGCAAACACAAACCTAGCCCAGGCACACACGAAGGAACACCAGTGCCGGGTCCTTGCTGCTAGCCATCTGGGAACTCCCCTTTGCCAAGGGCCCCTGGCAACTGTAAATCCTGAGCTGTACCCGCAGTTATTAACCACAAGATCCACTACAAAATAAGATGCTATGATCTTTGACAGGAGCTTAACTGAGCTGACATTGTGTGTAAGGCTGTGAATCCACCTAAGAAGGTCCAGGAGGTAGAAGTGAGAAGGTCTCTGAGAATTAGCAGGGGGACTGAAAGGGGACATGACCACAGGTCTGCAATGGGGAGAACCTAGCATCACGCAAGTTCAAGGGACAGCAGTGTCTAGTGGGCCTCCAATTTCTACCGTTGGAGGATCACTTCTTCCAGGGAAAGAACCTGAGAATTTTTTACTTTACCCAGTTCTATGAGTCATTCCTCCTTCCCCTCCCCCAAAAGGCAGAAAAATAATTCTGTCAATGGATGGATGCATAAACAAACATAAAATGGAATATTATTCAGCCTTAAAGAGGAAGGAGATCCTAACACTTGCGACAATTCTGAGGACGTTATGTTAAGTGAAATAACAAGTCACAAAAGGACAAATACTGTATGCTTCCACTTAAGTGAGTTACCTAGAGTAGGCAAATTCATAGAGACGAAAAGTAGAACAGTGGTTACTGGGGGCTGGAGGGAGGGAAGGCAGGATGGAAAGTTACTGTTTGTTATGGAATTTCTGTTTGGGATGATAGAGAAGTTCTGCAAATGGATGGTGGTGATGGTTGCACAACATTGGGAATGCACTTAATGCCACTGAATTATACACTTAAAAATTGTTTAAAAATGGTAAATTTTATATTACGTATGTTTTTCCACAGAAATTTTTTTAAGTATGACCAATAGCATAGCTTTTAAGGAAACATGGCTAAAGTAATGTTTTGGGGTTTTTGGTTTTTTGGTTTTTTTTTTTTTTTTAAAGATTTTATTTATTTATTTGACAGAGAGAGACACAGCGAGAGAGCGAACACAAGAAGGGGGAGGGGGAGAGGGAGAAGCAGGCTCCCCGCAGAGCAGGGAGCCCGATGTGGGACTTGATCCCGGGACTCCAGGATCATGACCTGAGCCTAAGGCAGTCGCTTAACCGACTGAGCCACCCAGGCGCCCGGTTTTTTGTTTTTTTTAGAGAGAGTATTATTAGTTTCAGAGGTAGAGTTCAGTGATTCATCAGTCTTATATAATACCCAGTGCTCATTACATCACGTGCCCTCCTTAATGTCCATCACCCAGTTACCCTATCCCCCCACTTCCATCCTCTCTAGCAACCCTCAGCTTGTTTCCTATGATTAAGAGTCTCTTATGGTTTGTCTCCCTCTGTGATTTTATTTTTTCCTTCCCTTCCCCTATGATCCTCTGTTTTGTTTCTTAAATTCCACATATGAGTGAAATCATATGATAACTGTCTTTCTCTGATTGACTTATTTCACTTAACATAATACTCTCTAGTTCCATCCACGTTGTTGCAAATGGCAAGATTTCATTTTTTTGATGGCTGAGTAGTATTCCATTGAATATATATCCTACATCTTCTTTATCCATTCATCTGTTGATGGACATCTGGGTTCTTTCCATAGTTTTGCTATTGCGGACATTGCTGCTATAAACATTGGGGTGCAGGTGCCCCTTTGGATCAGTACATTTGTATTATTTAAAAGACTATTATGAAGTAAATAATTCACATCAGAAATTATAAGATAATTATCAGGAACACTGTAAACAGAGTGGAGGACCCATGTTGATGAGCATGAGTGGACCCCAGTCCCCAATCTGATAGTTCCTTCATTCTAGTCCAGTCTCTTGCCTCTGTGAAGGAATAAACTGAACCATGTGGAATCAGGATGCTTCATTATTTAACTAAATATTAGAACTATCACAGGCCTTGTGGATTCAGGGCACTATTTGTTTAAATGAAGACCCAGCTCTCACTGAACCATCCACCGAAACAATGGAGTATAAAGTAAGCCCTCTGCTTAATATCACATATAAAATCCCAAAAGTATCTTTATTTTATGAAGGTGAGGATGTTATACAGGTGAAGGTCAATGACTTGATCATTCACTAGGGCTGTTTGTCTTGTCCATATAAAGCTGACTTCATTTGCTTGTCATTTTGTGCATCATGCCAGGTGAGGCATGATGTTCTGGAAGAATCGTGAGAGTTTATCTAGGTGAGGCAGGAGTGGATAGCCAATTCAGGTTATAATTTTGGCTGAAAAATGTCACGATCTTTGAGATTTCTTTTAAATCTATTCAACAAGTTGTCTTAATAGATTCATAACAACTAATTTAATGTGTGATGTGAAATGGACCCTGGATCAGAATCGGACAGGGAGGAACGTAATAAAGGATATTATAGAGAAAACTGGAAAAATACGAATTTAGTCTGGAGATGAGATAATAGTATTGCATCGATATTAATTTCCTGATTTTGATTACTGAGCTGTAGTCATGTAAGAAAATGTCCTTGCGGGGCACCTGGGTGGCTCAGTTGGTTAAGCGACTGCCTTCAGCTCAGGTCATGATCCCGGGGTCCTGGGATCGAGCCCCACTTTGGGCTCCTTGCTCAGCAGGAGTCTGCTTCTCCCTCTCCCACTGCCTGCTATTCCACCTGCCTGTGCTTAATCTGTGTCAAATAAGTAAATAAAATATTTTAAAAAAAGAAGAAGAAAAGAAAATGTCCTTGCTCTTAGAAAATACACATGAAAGCAGCACCTGGGGGCACAGTTGATTGGGCGATCAACTCCTGGTTTTGGCTCAGGTGGTGATCTCAGGGTCGTGAGATAGAGCCCCACATTGGGCTTTGTGCTCAGCACAGAGTCTGCTTGAGATTCTCCCTCTCCCTCTACCACTCCCTCTTTTGCACTCGAATGCTCTCTCAAGTAAATAAGTAAATCTTAAAAAAAAAAAAGAAAATACAAACTAAAGAATTTAGAAGTAAAGAAAAGAGGCATTTTACTCTCAAATCTGCAACTTACTCTCACATAGTTCAGGAAAAAAAAAATATATATATATATCTCAAGAGCAAATGGTGGGAGAGGCGTGGTAAAATAATAATTGAGGAACATGAGTAAAAGGTATGGAAGTTCTTTGTACTATTTCTAACTGTTCTATAAAGTAGTAAATAATTTCAAAATTAAAAATTTACCAAAAAAATTTAAGTTGATTTAGAAACTCATTCACCGTGCTCCCATGATCTATAACAAAGCCCAATTAATACAGTGTTATAAATTATGTATCTTGATTAATCTTAATATCATTTTAGTAACTAACCAGGAAAACACTCCTTGAGTTCTATATGATTATAAAAGCACTAAAATCTCAAGGTTAGAAGGGAACTAAGAAATGAAGCAACTCAAATAAACATCCATGTCTCCCAAAGTAACACCAGAAGTTCAATAATGTGAAAAGAATGCAGGGTATGAATCATGAATCAAGCAAGAAGAGGCTGTTCTACCTTAAACTGCTGTTGATCTCGGCCCAGCCCAGTTTCCATGACACATGAAGCAAAAGTCCACCAATTAATGTCTGCCACCTGAAAAGAATACAAGCCAATGTGAATTTGAGAGAGTGCTATGATCTCCAACACCATCCAGCCCCAGCAGACCCACTGGCTGACGTAAATATACACACCTAAGCCTTCCTACATCTCTTCTCTCCCATTCTCTCCTAACTGGTATCCCAGTTCCCAGACCCTCCTTCTCAACCTGTACTATTCTTGAGTCTAGTTGTACTGTTCAGTGCTCACACTGATATTCTTCTCTTCTTATTCTAGACTTTTCCCCAAACAATCTCACCCACAGCCCCCACTTCTCCCAGTGCCCTGCACTGATGATTCCCAAATCCCTGTGCTCACCTGGATACTGCCACCTTGATACCCTACAAGCTCCCAACGATAACTTGCCTAAAACATGACCCTGAACTTCCCTTCCCCATTCTGATCTACTGCCCTATCCCTAACCAATCAAACCAGAGCCCAGATGTCATCCTAGCTCTTCCTCCTCAGTCACCTCCCTCATCTGTTCACAAAATCCTATTGCACGTAATCCCCTAACAGTTCTCAAGTGCCACGCCTTCTCTTTCCCATACCTTCTGCCTCTGCCTAATGAGACTCCCCTCGTGGCACACCTGAACCGAACATCAGTCCCCTAACTGGTGTCCCTATCCCCAGGATGGTCCCACAACATCCATTCTCTACCTTGCAGCCACAGGGCTTGTTCTAGAATGCAAACTTAATTTTGCCACTCGCTCATTTTAAAAATGGTTGATTCTTCCCAGGTGGCCGGCAGCAACTCCCAATCTCTTTTCTGCCACGACACACCGGGGGCCACGTAGCTCATGTGAGACGCACTTCCTCAGCATGCAGAGCACAGGGGGAACCAGGCTGTGAATTACGCACCCCGGCCCCTCCCATGGCACAAAGCACAGCAAAGTTCAAAATGAGTGAGAGGCTACTACAGGCATGACTTCCCCTTGTTTCACTCTAATTGCTTTATTTTTGGTGAGCCATTCATAGACTTCAAAACCTTATTTTATGACTTGAGACACCTCACCTCGGAAGTGATTACAACACACCCGTGGGTTGTGACATAACAGTGGGGAACTGCTGGCCTCCAGGATAAAGTCACTTGCGTGTGACACACAAGCCTTCCCAGACTTGCAGTCTCCCCTTTCCAAGACCAGCTCCTGTCCATCTGCCACAGGCAGCGACATTCCAGCCATACTGAACCTCCCACAGCCTCGGGAATGTGCCAGGTCATTCCATACTTTTAAGAGTTTCCATGTGCTGTCCTCTTGACCCATTATATTCTCCCATCTCCTTTTTTTTTTTTTTTTAAGATTTTATTTATTTATTCATGAGAGACAGAGACAGAGAGAGAGAGGCAGAGGGAGAAGCAGGCTCCCAAGGAGCAGGAAGCCCGATGTGGGACTCGATCCCAGGACCCTGAGATCATGACCCGAGCCGAAGGCAGACGCCCAACCATCTGAGCCACCCAGGCGCCCTTCTCCCATCTCCTTGTGTGTTGGCGAACACCTGCTCATCCTTTAAGATCCAGTTTTTACGCCTCCTTTGTGAAACCTTCTCTAACCCAGCCAAGCAGAGCAGACAGATATGGTCATGCCCTCCAACAGCGTAATCTAGAGCAGTGGCACTCAACCGTATGTTCCCCCCCACCCAGGTGACATTTGGCAGTACCTAGAGACATTTTTGGTTGTCATAACTGGAGGTAGGGGAAGGGAGGGTGGCAACTGGCATCTGGTGAGTCGTAGCCAGGGATGCTGCCAAATATCCTACCATGTGCAGGACAGCCCCATAACAAAGGGTTACCCAGCTCAAAATGTCAATAGTAATTTGAGAGATGACAGTGGCCCGTGAAGGGGCAATTTGGATGAAGAAGGTGGACAGATTCTGAGGATATTTAGGAGGTCCTGGTGGTTAACTAGATGTCAGGGATGAAGGGGCACCTGGGTGGCTCAGATGGTTGAGCGTCTGCCTTCGGCTCAGGTCATGATCCTGGGGTCCTGGGATCGAGTCCCGCGTCGGGCTCCCTGCTCGGCGGGGAGCCTGCTTCTCCCTCTGCCTCTGCCTCTCTCTCTCTCTCTCTCTCTCTGTCTGACTCTCATGAATAAATAAATTTAAAAAAAACATTAAAAAAAAAAGATGTCAGGGATGAAGGAGACAAAGGAATCAACTCCCACGTTTCTGGGAGTTCTTCAGTCAGGCAACTGGATGGAAGGTACCATTCACTGCAAGTAAATTTAAGGGACAGGCAGAAGAGAAAAGAAAGCTGTACGAGGTCAGGGATCTTTGCTTTCTCCACTGATGTACCTCTCATGTCTAAAACAGTGCCTGGCACACAGTATGCACCCAATAAGGATTTGTAGAATGAGTTACTCTGCCCAATTGTGTAACTCCTACATTCCAGGCATTGTTCTAAGCACTGGGGATAGATACTCCAGTGACAAAAGAGATTAAAAAAAAAAATTCTTCCATTTGTAGACCTTACAATCTGTTGGAGGAGGGACATTCAGTCTGACTCATCCACAGATACACAGGGGAAAAGGCAATCCAGACGTAGAGATCCTCCTTTCCCACCTAAGTTCCCTAAGGCTCTCTACCTGGAGAGAACTGCAAGACAGTCAGGACCAGAAAATGATTCCTATTCACTGAAAGAGAAAACAACATCCCAGCTTTATTGACGGAAATACAGTGGTTCCCCCCCTTACTTGTGGGGGATCATTTTAAGATCCTTGGGGATGCCTGAAACTGCAGATAGTGCCGAACCAAATATATGTTATGTTTTTTCCTACACGTACATACCTATGATAAAGTTGAATTTATAAATTAGGCTCCGTAGGAGATTAACAACAATAACCAATAATAAAACAGAACAATTATAACAATATGCTGTAATAAAAGTTATATGAATGTGGTTTCTCTCTCAAAATCTCTGTACTCACCCTTCTTCTCACAATGCTGCAAGATGATAAATGCCCACATGGTGAGGTGAAGTGAGGTGAATGAGGTAGGCATTCTGACATACCCGTAGGCTACCATTCACCTCTGACAAGTCAGGGGAGAATCATCTATTTCCAGAGAGAACTGACTGCGGGTGACCGAAACCGCAGAAAGCGAAACCGTGGATAAGGGGGGACTACTGTATATGTAATCATAAACAATATTTTTTTTAAGTTTTGCTATGAAATATTAGGGAGAAACTTGACAAGGTCATTCTGAATTTTACCTGAAGTAATATATTGGTGATACTATAAAGAACAAAAATCCAAAAGTATAAAAAAGGAAGTGCTTTAAAGTCTTCTTCCCTTGCCTGTCCACTCTCTGCGCAGCTTCCACCTTTCTAAGGGTAACCACTCTTGGTAGTTTCTTCACCTTTTTTAATTTTTATTTATTAATTTTTTAAAGATTTTATTTATTTATTTGTCAGAGAGAGAGAGCACAAGCAGGGGGAACGGCAGGCAGATGGAGAAGCGGGCTCCCCGCTGAGCAGGGAGCCCGATGTGGGGCTCGATCCCAGGACCCTGGGATCATGACCTGAGCCGAAGGTGGACGCTTAACCGACTGAGCCACCCAGGCACCCCTTCACCTTTTTTTAAATAAGGAAAACATACACACACATTTCTACACGATGGTATTGTACCACCCTGTTACAGACTTGCTTTTGTCCCGCATTAAATGCATTTTGAAAACCTTTTCATTTCAATACCTGAGAGTGTCCTTATTATTTTTTGCCATTTGAATAATATTCCATTAAGGCTATAATATAATTTATTTAATGGGTTCTGTAGAGATGAAAATCAGGTTGTTTAAAAATGCTTGCTGTCACAGAGCTGCAATGTTTCCCACGTATGTCTTCGTACATATTTTATTTACAAAAGTGCAAGTAAACCTCTCAAATAAATCCCTGGAAGTGGAATTGCAGAAGTGAAGGATTCAAACTGTTGCGATAGTGTTACATATTGCCAAAGTGTCACTCACAGATACTGTACCAATTTGCCACCCCAGATCCATGTAGGAGAGCACCTGTTTTCTACATCTTCACCAATGTTGTGTTATCAAACTTTGAAATTTTATTTTGCACATCTTATAGGCAAAATAGGATTTTTCAATATTGATTTTAATTATATTTTTCTTATGAATGAAGAATTATTTGTAAATAGAGATTTTTGTTTGTTTGTTTTTTTTAAAGATTGTATTTATTTATTTATTTGAGAGAGAGAGAATGAGAGGGAGCACATGAGAGGGGGGAGGGTCAGAGGGAGAAGCAGACTCCCGATGCAGGACTCTATCCAGGGACTCCAGGATCATGACCTGAGCTGAAGGCAGTCGCTTATCCAACTGAGCCACCCAGGCGCCTGAGATTTTTGGTTTTGATATTAAATTCTAGCTTTACGGGCACCTGGGTGGCTCAGTCAGTTAAGCATCTACCTTTGACTCAGGTCATGACCTAGGGGTCCTGGGATTGAGTCCTACCTTGGGTTCCCTGCTTAGCGAGGAGTCTGCCTCCTCCTCTCCCTCTGCCCCTCCGCACCACTCTCTCTCTCAAATAATTAAATAAAATTTAAAAAAATAAAATAAAATCTAGCTTTAGGGCAGTAAGATTGTATAATTGTTACTTTGGGCAAATTATTGCTTGTTTTATTCATAATGAATATTCCCTGGACATTTGAGAAGAGGGTATAGTTTCTATTTTAAAGATGCAGGGTTTGATATTTACCTATTAATTGTATTATTTAGCTTATATATATACATACACACATACACACACATGGACACTAGCTTTTTGTTTGTCCAACTGAATGTCATGGAAAAATAGTGGCAAATTTGTCTCCTATTAATTGTATGTTTCTATGTATTCCTGATATTTCTGCCCCATTGTCTGGCTGGTAGATATTCATCACTATTTTATTTTCATTTGAACGGCACACTCCAACATGTCTTTTCATAACATTTATAACGTATCTTTTCATTTTGAACTGCGTGCTTTATTTAGCATCATAACACATCTTTCTTCGTATGTTTAGTCCTTTTTGTCCTGGACCTTGTCTGGCAAAGATCATGACCCCTGCTCTTTTGTTTGCATTTGTATAATATTAAAAAAAAAAAAAAAAAAAAGAATGAGGGATGTCCTGCTCTATGACATATTTAAATGCTATAATAATTAAAACAATTTAGCAGTAGCCCTTTTTCATAAAAATTGACAAATACTCAAAAATAGATCCTAGAAAAATAACTTTATATATGATATTAACAACCCAAAGGCAAAAGGAAAGATTATACAATAAAATAGAAAATACAGGGCTAGTATATGAGGCTCAGTCAGTGGAGCATGCAACTCTTGATCTTGGTGTTGTGAGTTCGAGCCCTGCATTGGGCTCCATGCTCAGCATGGAGTCTGCTTGAGATTCTCTCTCCCTCACCCTCTGCTCCTGCCACTCATGCTCTCTTTCTCTCTCTCTCAAATAAATAAATAAACCTTTTTTAAAAAAACATAGGGCTAGTATAAATGAAACTAGGGGAGGGATGATTTCCTCACATTACACATTTAAATAAATGGACAATGATTAAAAATTGAATAAAGCTTTAATGAAATGTACGTAAATATCTACATGAGCTTGTGATGGAGAAGAATAAACATTAAAGCAATGGTACCAATCACAATCATCAATATTTGTCCACTATAAAAATAAAACAATTTTTTAAACATTTTATGTATTTATATGGGAGAGAGACAGAGGGAGAGAGCAAGCATAAGCAGGGGGAGGGGCAGAGGGAGAGGGAGAAGCAGGCTCCCCACTGAGCAGGGGGCCTGATGCAGGGCTGGATCCCAGGACCCTGAGCTCATGACCTGAGCCAAAGGTAGACACCCAACCGACCGAGCCACCCAGGCACCCTAAAACGACTTTTTTTTAAAAGCTTGAGTGGAGGGGCACCTAGGTGGTGCAGTCAGTTAAGCATCCAACTCTTGGTTTCAGCTCAGGTCGTGATCTTGGGATCGTGAAATCAAGCCCTGCGTGAGGCTCCGCACTCAGCACAGAGTCAGCTTGAGTTTCTCTCTCCTTCTTCCTCTGTTCCTCTCTCCCACGCTCACGCTTGCTTTCTCTCTCTGAAATAAATAAATCCTAACTAAATTAATTAATTAAATAAAAAGCTTGAGTGGGGATGAGGTGAGGAAGGGAAATGTGAGTGCCAGAGCAGCCTGTGCTGCTTCTACAACATCTCCACTATGACCTAGCTCCACACCCCTTTTTCCTCATCTCTTTTGTCTAAGAATGGCATTCTTCAATCATAAGACCACATGCTAGATTTATCTGTAGTTCTTTCTGTTGCTTCCGTCTTACATCTTAGCAATAAATTCTCCATGATGTCACTTAAAAATACATTTAAATAATCAAAATAAGCATGAACAAAATGAAAAGGCAAAGGACAAACTGCAAAAAAAGAAATTTCTAATAAACATGATGGACAAGTGGTTGGCATTCTTAAAATATGAAGAAGTCATTAAATTAATAAGAAAGATACTACAACCCCAGTAAAAATAAAAGGGAAAAGGCACAAGTAGACAATTCACTGATAAAAGCAATACAAATGGGTAACACACATAAGAAAACGGTCCAGCTTCATGAAAAATGTAAGACAAAACAATGTGATACCATTTGGGGCTCATGCATCAGAGAGAGGAGAAAAACAGTCATGGTTTGAGTACAATATTATAGAAACTTGGTCACAATGTAAATTGGTAACACATTTCTGAAAAAGAATTTAATATTCAGGAGGAATACTAAAGAAGTTCATATTCTTTAACCAAAATTTCTTACATAGGAATCTATCCCAAAGAAATAGCTAGAAATTTGACAGATTTGAATATAACAAATGTCTGATAACATCGTTGTCTTTATGCCCCCAAAATGGGACACAATTTAAATGCCCATTAATAGAATGGCTAAATAAATTACCGTATGTCTATTTCATAAAAAAATCTATGTAGTCATTAAAAGTATTTTATTTTTTTTAAGATTTATTTATTTGAGAGAGAGAGAAAGCACTTGAGCAGGGGGAGGGGAAGAGGGAGGGGGAGAGGGAGAGAAAGAATCTCAAGCAGACTCCCTGCTGAATGCAGAGCCCAAAGTGGGGCTCAATCTCACGATCCTGAGATCATGACCTGACCAGAAATCAGGAGTCAGAAGCTTAACCTACTGAGCCACCCAGGCACCCCAAAAATATTTTAAAGAACAGCTAATGATGCTGGTTGGACATGTCCCACAAATGTGTATAAAGAGCATAAAAGATACTCACCCTTGGAATAATGTAGGGTAGGTAAATTTCAAGACAGACAGGACATACTGAAAAACAAATACCAGATTAGTGGACATTTTCAAATTATCGAGAATTGATTGTATAATCAAAGAAATCCCTACTGAAGAAACATAAATACACTCAAGTTTCAAAAAGGCTTTTATCCTTCCCCCCAAAAATCACACATTGGGCAAAAATTTTAAAAAAGAAAGATCTTCCAAGTCATACTAAAAAGAGCGGGTCTATTTTTCCCCAGTATTGTCAGAAGCATGACCACCTGTCGGTCGGGGAATGGAACTGGGATCATCAGCAAATTGGGATGCACAGCAGCTGGGTCTGATGCTGTGGAGGTCCAACCACTCAGCCTCTTTCCAGACCCCAGAAGTGCCCTGTTGGAACTGCAGCACCTGTTGAAAACTGGACTTAAGTCTCTTTTCTCAGGGTATCCACCTTATTTACTGTCCAATTTACCTAAAAATCCAATCCCCCTTCTTTGTCTCTCTTTAAGCAAGCCAACCTGGTCTGGAGACCAAAAGGAAGCATAACTGTCCTGGTTGAAACAGTGGCATAATTTAAGAGTACAAAGTCCCTACCAGAGTCCCAGAGTGAAGGACTACCTCTCCCACCCCTACCAGGAAGGTACTATGTATGGATCTTTAAAGGCCCATCACCAGAACTAAAAATCAGCTGGACAGGGGGAAGGAGGGTTCTGGCGCATCCTCTGAGTATACTGAAGACAGCCACTCACATTAAGAGAGAAGGTATAGGGAAATGCTATTTGTTAATAGTTTTTTTTCCAGAGAGCAAGAGGGATTTGGTGTTTTGGGGGGGCAATGGAGACCCCAGAGTAGGAGAAAGTGGTCCGGGGCCTGGCATCACCACTTTGTCTTGGTTTCCAGCCCAATGTCCAGGACAGGAGGGGATGCCCCACTCTAGCTCACAGCGGTCCAACATTTCCCTGCATGGTACCAAATCCAAGGCCAGTTTCCCCCTCCCAACAAAATAAAAAACATGGTACAATTGCTTTTCTGCCGTTTCACAAACAGGGTTTCATGACATTACTTTAAATAAAATTAACTTTATATTTTATTTTCAAAAATAATTCCACGAATCCTATTCCTAAACAAGGGTTCCCTACACAGTCCGCTTCGTCTCCACCACCATCAGGAAAAATCAGATAAACAGCTGGAGGCTGCATCTGTTCCACGGACGATTTGGGGACCCAGATCTCCCACGTGCAATCATCGCCGCCCCGCGCCCGCCCCCCTCACCTTGTTCGTGAGGTAAGAAGCCAGGTAGCAGGTACAAAAGGTGAGGCCCGCCAGGCACCTCCTCACGCACATCGGTGAGCCCTCGCCCCTTCCCGGGGACCCCGGGGGAGCTCCGCGACAGCCTCCGGGAGCCGGGCCACCGCCTCTGCTGCCAGGACAGCCACGTGGCTCCAAGCTCGGCCAATCGGCGAGGCGCCCCCCCTCCCCGCCCCCGCGCCCGCCTCTTAAAGGAACCGGGCCTGCGCTGGTTCCGCAGCTGCCCTGTGGGCAAGCGGCTTCCGGCTGCGGGGGAAAGTCGGGGGAGAAATTAGATCGCCCTGCAGGGGCTGCGACCACCTGTGGAGAAAGGGCGGACAGTAGTCGCTGTAAAAAAGTCGAAAATGGTAGACGGGGAAAAATTGCAGTTTACAAAACAGTTCACGACACTCCATTACCGTTTAAAGAAAACTGTCCATCGCTGTCTCTAAAGGATGGACCAAAATGTTGCTTTACTGAATTTTCCCCATATTCTACATTGAGTCTGTATTACTTTTGCAAAAGACACCAAACAAAAAGTTAATGAAAACTATTATTTTAAAAGAAGGAACACTGAGGAGCTAGAATGAGTGTAGTTTTTTTTTTCCCTTAAGTCATTCCACTGGGTTGAAATTTACATAAAATGAGAAATCCTCCCAAAAGTAGAGTTTCAAGCACTGCCCCTATTCCTAGTATACAGGGTGGAAATTTTCCCTAGTTAAGCTTCTGGCAAATAGGAGTTAACATACCCAAAGCATGTTGATGGACTTTGTCAGGAACTAGAGGTACAAGTGTTGCCCAAGTGCAGAAACACAGATTTTGGAAATGCCCCCCATACCAGGAAAACTTCACTTTTTAAAATTTGTATTCCCTGTGTAAAATTATTTATCAAACTATATTATCCAAGCAAACACTAGATGTATTGTCTCTACATAAAAGATAAATAAACTAAAAAGTAATTTTCCCTTGACATTATTTTAGGAAACCTACTTCAGAGCTAAATAGTCCTTACAAAGAAAAGTTTTGCCCAGTAGAATTCCTTTGAAATCAATAGCTGGTACTTCCTTGATATTCTCTGAGCACTTTTAGCACATGGACAAGTTTGGGCCCTGTTATTTCCTAGTTATTACTTAACTTATTTTTTTGACAGAATTTGCTTAACAAGCAGGAACAACAAGAACAGTAAAGAACCATGCAAATAGAAGCTGACATTTGTAGCAAAAGTGCTGATAGATCGTGCCAGAGCCATCGATTTTTCCAAAGCTGTATTATTGTTTCACAAAACAAACTAAACTAAGACTGAGTGAAAATAAAATCATCAGGTCTTACATTGTCGAACAATCTGGCGTATACGAGATTGAGTTAGACCGAAACACACAAAAAGATTTAACTACTCGTAGGGTTAATTGAGATCTTTGAGACCGAAGATCATAGTTAATTTGTTTTTTTGATAATGGATCCATAAGTGCTCAATAAATGTTTGTTGAATAAAAAAAAGGGGAGCTCAGATAAAACAATGCCTTTGGGGGTTTTCCCCCAAGAAATCTTTTTAATAACGAATTTTTTTGACCGCACACATGGAAAATTCTCAAAAGATGGCAGAAGCAGCAGCATACGTTTGGAAACACCATAAATCCCACTTGAAAAGCAGCCACCTAGGTGGCTCAATTGGTTGAGCGACTGACTTAATTTCAACTCAGGTCATGATCTCAGGGTTGTGGGATTGAGCCCCCGCATTGGGCTCAGTGCTGGGCGTGGAGCCTGTTTAAGGTTCTCTCTGCCCCTCCCCCTGCCCTCTCTCTCTCTAAAAAAAATAATAACTAAATTAAAAACAAACATCAAGATTTCTTATGAATATAGATACAAAAATCCTCAACAAAACACTAGGGAAAGGAATCCAGCAACATGTGAAAGGAATTCACACCAAGACCAGGTGTGATTTTTCCCAGGAACGCAAGATGGGTTTAACATGCAAAAATCAATTCATGTAATACACCATATCAATAAAATAAAGAACAAAAACCACATGATCATCTCAATAGAAACAGATGAGGCATTTGAAAAATTCAACACCTCTTTATGATTAAAAACATTTTTTTTTAGATTTTTATTTTATTTATTTGACAGAGAGAGAGAGAGACAGCTAGAGAGGGAACACAAGCAGGGGGAGTGGGAGAGGGAGAAGCAGGCTTCCCGCCGAGCAGGGAGCCCGATGCGGGGCTCAGTCCCAGGACCCTGGGATCATGACCTGAGCCGAAGGCAGACGCTTAACGACTGAGCCACCCAGGCGCCCCTATGATTAAAAACATTTAACAAAATGAGGAATAGAAGGGAATTTCCTCAATATGATAGAAAGCATCTGTGAAAACCCCACAGCTAGCATTATACTTAATGGTGAAAGACAATGCTTTCCTCCCTAAAATCAGGAACAAGACAAGGAAGACCATTCTTGCCACTTCTATTTTACATAATATTGGAAGTTCTAGCCAAGACAATAAGGTAAGAAAATAAAATAAAAGGCGAGATCTATTGCAAAAATGAACAAACAAAAACCCAAAGAAACGGAGGGGCCTGGGTGGCTCAGTTGATTAAGCATCCAACTCTTGGTTTTGGCTCAGGTCATGATCTCAGGGTCTTGAGATCAGCCCCAAGTAGGGCTCCGCAAGCAGCGGGGAGCCTGCTTAAGACTGTCTCTCCCTCTCCCTCTGCCTTTGACCCCCAGGCACACTCTCTCTCAAATAAATAAATCTTAAAAAACACACACACAAAGAAACAAAGAACTATCTCTACTATAGATGAGAAGATTTTGAATATAAAAACCCCTGGGACACCTGGCTGGCTCAGTTGGTGGGGCATGCTACTCTCGATCTCGAGGTTGTTAAGTTTGAGCCCTATGTTGGGTGTAGAAATTACTTAAAAATAAAATCTTAGGGCGCCTGGGTGGCTCACTTGGTTGAGCGACTGCCTTCAGCTCAAGTCATGATCCTGGAGTCCCGGGATCGAGTCCCGCATTGGGCTCCCTGCTCGGCGGGGAGTCTGCTTCTCCCTCTGACCCTCCCCCCTCTCATGTGCTCTCTCTCTCTCATTCTCTGTCTCAAATAAATAAATAAAATCTTTAAAAAATAAAATAAAATAAAATCTTAAAAAGAGTCATTGAGGATGATATGGTCTAATATACATTTAATATGAGTTCTGTCAAAAAAGAATACAAGGGCACCTGGGTGGCTCAGTCATTAAGCGTCTGCCTTCAGCTCAGGTCATGATTCCAGGACCTTGGGATCAAGCCCCGCATCGGGCTCCCTGCTTGGCGGGGAGTCTGCTTCTCCCTCTTCTGCTCCCCCTGCTTGTGTTCCCTCTCTCACTGTGTCTCTCTCTGTCAAATAAATAAATAAATAAATCTTAAAAAAAAAAGAATACAGAAAATGTGAAAGAGGCATTTTTTCCAGAACTAATATAGTGAACCTTCAGATACAGTTTGTGTGTTTGTTTGTTTATTTATAAAGATTTTATTTATTTATTAGAGAGAGAGAGAGCACAAGCAGGGGGAGCAGCAGGGAGAGGGATAGGCAGATTCCTGCTGAGCAGGAAGCCTGACGAGGGGCTCGATCCCAAGACCCTGGGACCATGACCCAAGCCTAAGGCAGACGCCTAACTGACTGAGCCACCCAGGTGCCCCTTCAGATATAGTTTAGACAACAAATCCTGAGCAAACTACATGAAAAGAAATCCACTTAGCCATATTTTCATATTTAAACTCATATTTTGATTATAGTAAAAAAACACAACATAATTCACTATCTTAACTTTTTTTTTTTTTAAGATTTACTTATTTATTTGAGAGAGAGAGAGAGCACAAGTGGGGGGGACAGAGGCAGAGGGAGAGATAATCTCAAGCAGACTCCTCACTGAGTGTGGAGCCGGACTCAGGGGGCTCCTGAGCCGAAACCAAGAGTCAGATGCTTAACCAGCTGTGCCACCCAGACACCCCACTATCTTAACCATTTTTAAATGCATACTACAGTAAAGTATATACACATTGTTGTGCATATATCTCTAGAACTTCGCATCTTGCTAAACTGGGGTTTAGCAAGTTAAACCTGAAACTCTAGGTCTATTGAATGACTCCTCTTTCCCTGTTTACCCCTATCCCCCAACAACCACCATTCTACTTTCTGGGTCTAAAAGTTTGACTACCTTAGATACCTCTTGTAAGTAGAATCAATGCATATTTTTATTAAATATTATTCTCCTTTCATTTATCCTTTATAGCCAGATTATTATATCAATTTTTTATATATTGTGCAGTAAAGGAAGCAAAATAAAATACCTGTTATTAAAAAATGGAGTGGGTTGCATAGGGTTCAGAACCATTAAGTCCCAATTGAACCCAACTGAACCATATCCATAACATTGCACTCTAGCAACATTTTTTTTTTAAGATTTTATTTTTAAGTAATCTCTATACTTGACGTGGAGCTCAAACTCACAACTCCTAGATCAAGAATCTTATGCTCTACTGACTGAGCCAGTCAGGTGCCCCAAGTAACCTTATGAAAATGCTGAGTTGTTGCTAAATACACCACAGACTTTCCTGCCCCTAGGCCTTGTCTTACAGCATTCTTTCCCCCTGAAACTAGCTTTATAGCTTCTTTCCAACCTTCATGGCGTAGTTTGGTGGCACCTCCCTCCTCCATGTAGCCTTTCCACATCTCAATAACCCGCAGTGAATCCTGAAACATCCACTCTCTATAGATGTTTTTTGGCAATTAATCATGCACTCTTTTGAGATAGAAGTGTGTTATTATGTAATGTGTGAATATATTATCTCTCCAACTATATCTGATAGTTCTTTGTTTCTCCCACAGGGCTTCGGGAGTATTCTAGGCAGTTAATAAATATTTGTTGATTGCCTGAAACAACTACTTGCGAAATAGACTCAATTAGTGTCAGTATTAAAGACTAAAGAGTTTTATATCTATTCTCTTTATTTTTTTAATTATTTTTTTTTAAGTAGGCTCCATGCCCAATGTGGGGCTTGAACTCATGACCTTGAGAGTCACATGCTCTACCAACGGAGCCAGCCACAGATGCCCCTGTTCTCTGTAGATACCAAGAATCTGCTGATTCCATGTGTTTAGGCAGTGCTAAT